GCCTGGCTATTTTTAGAGACAAGGGCTTGTTCTGTCTCAGGCTGATCTCTAACCTGTAAGCTCAGGCAATCCACTCACCTCGGCCTCCCAGAGTGCTGGGAATACAGGCATGAGCCCCCACGCCCAGCCCAGAATACATAAATTGATGTGATAACAATATGGTAAATAAAAACATTCACAGGCTTTTAAAGTGGACATTTTCATAATTTTTACCTTGAAAAAGCACTAGTTTACTAGTGTTTTACTAGGATATCTGCATAGGTGTTTATCTTGTATTCTTTTAAATTTTCTGGTTTTTTTTTTTTTTTTTTTTTTGTAGAGACATTTTTTTTTTTTTTTTGATATTGTCTTACTCTGTCACCCTCAGTAGAGTGCGGTGGCATCATAGCTCACAGCAACCTCAAACTCCTGGGCTCAAGTGATGTTCATGCCTCAGCCTCCCAAGAAGTTGGGACAACAGGCGCCTGCCACAATGCCTAGCTATTTTTTAGAGATGGGGTCTCACTTTTGCTCTGGCTGGTCTTGAACTCCTGAGCTCAGGCAATACACCTGCCTCAGCCTCCCAGAGTGCTAGGATTACAGGCGTGAGCCACTGCGACCAGCTGCATTCTTCCCATTTCTGAGATTCCCAGTCATGAATTATGGCTCCTTCTCCTCTATTTTCAAACTCACACTCTCTCCTGCCTCTCTCCTTGCTAGCTTATTAATATAGTCAAGTTATTTCTTTCTTTAAAAAAAAAATTCCTTCCCTCACCCTGACAGCAGTTTCTCTAGGAAGAATAGTCTCAACTTATTCCCAACAGCATTTAACCTTCTATACACCCTTCAGTCCCCACAGTCTGGGGTTTCCTAAAGCTATTCCATAAAAAGGCATAATGACTTCCTGATTTCCAAATCCACTAGCTACTTCTCGGTCATCAGCTTACTTCCTGACTTTGAGTCATTTGATAATACCATTCATGTCTCTTATTTTTTCCTGAAAATTCCCCTCCACCTCCATGCACACCTGTATTTCTGCCTACCTGTTAGTCTCTTTCTACTGAGTCTTCCCTTCTTTGGCCAACCTCTTCAGGCTTTTGTCATGTACCCACTACTTTTTTCTCTGTGTCATGTACCCACTACTTTTTTCTCTGTGCAAGCTGTCCATGAAGTCTCACTGATGCCCATGGTTTTAACTACCACCCATAGGCTAAAATATCTCATAGTACACAGTTTGGCTTAGACAACTACAACACTTTTTAGTCTCTTCTAGTCTTACCCACCTCCAATCTCTCTTCCTCATGCCACCACCCATCAATTTGGAGCTTGATTTTTTAATCAAATGGATTAATGAAATACAGAGTGAGCGTGTCATTCCACTTCTCAGAACTTTTCAGTGATTCTCAACAGTAAGAAAATTCCTGCTTTTCTTAGATTGTTAAAAAACAGAAGTCTATTTATGTCTTATCATCTGTCATTTGCCCGTAGATACAAGGTTCTACTCATGACTCCTTTGATTTGTCTTGCCATTGTTTTTTTTTTTTTGAGACAGAGTTTCACTTTGTCGCCCTCAGTAGAGTGCTGTAGTGTCACAGCTCACAGCACTCAAACTCTTGGACTCAAGTGATTCTCTTGCCTCAGCCTCCCAAGTAGCTGGGACAACAGGCACCTGCCACAACGCCCGGCTATTTGTCTTGCCTTTTTATAGTTCAGTGCCTTTTACAGGATGTTCCTCGACTTCTAATGCCTTTCTTTTCCTTGTGCATGTGGTAAATACATAATCACTTTTCAAGACTCCGTTCTTGCATCACCTTTATCGTGACACCTTCCTGGTCTCTGTGCTCCCCAGTTAACCTCCATTATTTACTCCTCATCTTCCCCCCAACCGTGTGCCTACCTCTACTCCAGCCCCTGGTACAGAACACTTTACACATGCTGGGATGGCTATAACTCCTCTCTCAGTACACCAGGAGCAATTTAGAAATTGCAACCCTATATTATTGACTTTTATGTCTGTGGGACCTAGTAAGTGCCTGACAAATAGTAGGCCCTGGATATGAGTTCTCTGGATTAATGACAGAGGTTAGTACCAAAAACATCTTGGAGAAGTCAAAACTGAAAGTAAGGTAAAATATAATAGGATTAAATACACCGTCTTGGCCCACTCAGGTTGCTATAACGAAATACCATAAGCCAGGTGGCTTATAAACAAGAGAAAAAAATTTTCAAAAATTTAAGGGGGTACAAATTTTTTGTTAATTGGATGAATTGTATAATGCTGAAGTCAGGGCATTTTGTGTGGCCATCACCCGAGTAGAGTACATTGTATTTTATTATTTCTCACAGTTCTGGAGACTGGAAAGTCCAACATCAAGGCATTGTCAAATTTGGTGTCTGATGAGGTCCCATTGAATGGCCCATGACAGCCATCTTTTCACTATATCCTCATATAGCAGAAGGGGGAAGGAATCTCTCAGTTCTCTTTTATAAGGATACTGATACCATGTATGAAGGGTACACACCTTAGATCTAATCACCTCCCAAAGGTCTCACTTCCTACTACCATCAGCTCAGGGTTTGGATTTCACCATATGAATCAGGGTGATTTGCAAACATTCAGACCACAGCATATACATAAGCTAAAAGTTATCTGTATCAATTTGTTTGGCAAACTCTGAATAGGAATTTATGTGAGAAAAGACCTGGAAATTTGAATAGTAACCTTAAAATAAGTCACTATAATATGGTGACAAGCTACTATAGCTATATATCTAGATTTTTATCTTTTAGATTAAATACCACTTGTAGAAATCCTGTCTTCTCCACTATAAACCTTTACAGAGGATATTATTGAGAGTAAATAATTTTTACATGTTTTTATAATTCAGGTTTTATAGTTAAAGACAAGGAAATTCCACTAAATCAAGTACAAATCAGAGCTGGTAAAATATTTTTTTTTTCTATTTAACATTTTAAGAAAAAAAAAGATGGATAAATATCCCAGCACTGTTTTTCCTAAAACACCTAGATAGGTTGTCTAAATTGTTTGGCTCTATTCATGTAGTCAAAGAAGCCAGTGGCTATTCTAACTCATGTCTAGTGCTAAATTACTTCTATATTTATAAAGCCAGTCTCAGTAGCTTTTAACAATAAACTTAACAAATTTGTTGAAGATAGTTCTTTGATACTCAACAAAGAATTTTATTTAATGACCATATTTCTAAGTTCAAAGAAGCAGAGAAGCCTAATTATTAAGCAATTGCCTTTTACTTCATAAACTTGTGTTTGTAATATTTTGTCAAACATTCACATCAATATCTAATCTTGCTAAATCTAAAGTAATTGAAAATTTAAGATCTGTTGTTTATAAATAACACCTGACTTGACTTTTCTCCTCAAATACTATTAACAATAGTAGCTAATTTTTATTGAATGTTTACAATATTTCAATCACTGTGTCAAACATAAAAAATTCTGTAAGGTGGGACTATTGTTATTATGAACACTAAAACAGAAAGAGGTTAGGCAATTTATCCAAGCTCACATAGGGCGTAAACAGCTGAACTCTGACAGGAACACGGAAAGCCTGAGCCCAGATCTTTATTTATAACCACTCAGTTACAGGAGGACATTAGAATTCAGAAATAATTTAAGGGAAAAAGTTTTCATAATTAATATGGCATTTAGGCATAAGTAGTTTTCTAGATCTGTATCATATTTTTCCACTTTTTTGCAAATGCATAGATTTCCCCTTATATAGTGGAGAGACAAACTTTGATAGGAAGAAAATGGGTGTCTTAATTGGGAAACCACTTGCTTTGTAAAATCAATGCAAATATCCAGACACATTGTTTTAAAATAAACTCAAATTTTATTGGTATGTGAAATGACTTAGAAGCTCTGAAAAGAGAATGCTCTCTGAAACACCTAACACCACTAAGGCACCTAACAAAATGGGCATTTGTCTTGTAAAGAATGATTGCTATGCTGCCAAAGCTTGGAGAATACATTTGTTTTACTGAGACATTAGGAAGCAATGTTGGCATACAAATCAGCAAAGCATCTCTGTCCAATGAGCTATTTTCTAGAAAGGGCCCCCGCATGTCTCTGGGCTGGAAGCCCTAGGAGGATAAGCATTAAATTGGCCTTTGATCCAGGAAAATAAATTCTGCCACAGTACATGTATGATTGAAAATCTGTGCGATCTCTCTTCCATCTAAGTCCCTCAGAACTTTTTCTGATTAAATTGTCTGAATCGATAATCATAGTTAGACACATCTTCAATTATAAAATCAACTTCTTTAAAGCAAAAAATCACCAATAGACCAAGTAGTGAGACATGAAATAATAGACATGAGCCATTTTACAAGGGCTATTTCAGTTTTTTAAAATATTGTACATACACATATATCACACACACAAAATTCCATACCTTCAACTTGGAAAGGCATCTTATTCTATGGGCTTCAATCCTTTTCTCAGTTTCTCCCATGTTGCTCTTCTGAATGTTCCAAAGTATCTATGTTTTAAATCTTGATATGTCTTAGTTCTACCCTTTTAAGAAAATAAAAATTTGTTAAGTTACTGCCAAAATCATTAGCAAGTATTCTTTTGAAGAAAGTACTGAATCTGAATAATATAGTGGAAGTCCACTATATTACCAAAATACCTAGGAAGCTTTTGGTTCAGATCTAGAAAATAATGGCATTAGAGAACATTTAGTCATTGGCTTCCTATTGAGAACGTTACATAAAATAACTTTAGCTACTCTTTGGTGAAGATTAAAGATACTGAAGTAATTTGTTAAGATCCCCTTGCAAAATAATGACCACGTGATTAAACAAAGCTTTTCATTTCTTTGGCCAAAACTAATAGAACCAAAGTGAGCTCCTTGGACTTACATGAAAATTGTTGCTTTTAAGAACACAAGACTTTGATTTGTGTTTGTGCTGAAAATCTGCTTCAGTGAGCGTACCCACGTTCAAAAATCTCTATTTGGCCAGGCTCCCTCTTGGAGTTCTTGGCATTCCAAGACTTCCCTGGAGTCTCAGGAAGGGAAACACTTTGTGGGGTACTGCTGATTCACGGGAACCTGGAGAGACATGGAATTTTAATCATGGAAATAGCCTAAGTAAAAATAACAAACAATTCTATGATCTGAAAAAGAATCCTACAATTGTTAAATTAAGATGTAAGACTTAGGAAAAGATCAAACATCAGAAAGGAGATCTATGTATAGATATTTGCAATAGATTCTCTGTGGATCTATATATCTATATTATTTATAGGAACACATTTTTGTATGGAGAACAAGAAGTTGGCTTAAACTTTATTAAGTTCTACTAACCCCAGGTTGAATACTCTGTTTATTTTGTGACTTGAAACTAGGACAACATTTTGCATCAATATCAAAATATTTCACTCTAACAATATTTACTCTTGCCAGAATAATATTTTAACAGTATCCCTAGCATTAATTAATTAAAATCCTGTAAACAATATCTGTTTAACAAGTGGTCCTGAATGGTACTAATTTTTAAAAACCTCATTGCTTGAACTCTACAAATTTTCTAAATCCTCAAAATGCATATCAAAGGAGTAGCTACTGCACAATTATGTGTGAGTTTAGTTCTTTGTACTCATTTTCTAACACATACAACAGATACTTATTGAAAGCTACCACATGCCAGTCATTGTTCTAAGCAATGGAAGTCAGTAGTGAACAAGACAGCCGACCTGTTCTATGGAGAATATAAACCCACTAGAGAAGTATATCTCTTTGGAAGGTACTTGGACACAGATCCCAAGGAAATAATACTTTCATTGGGAAAAATAAAATTTTTGTTTTAGACACATTGCAATAGAAACAGACACTGTATGATGAACTATAACTTGCATGGTAGAGAAATGGTGAAAACATTCTAAGGATTATGGTTGAAAGTTAGAGAGACACATTTGGCAATTCTGAACAGACCCATGCTGAACGCTCTCACATAAAATTCCAACTCACTTTAACTATAGTGCAACACTGGTTATGGAAAAATTATGGATAGAATGGAATAATTTTTCAAACAAATTGATATACATGTTGTCTCAAAAGTCACCCCTCAAGTTCCTAGACATAGGGAAAATAGAAAATTGTAGCTAAATCTTTATTTACAAAAGATTCATTATAAAATTTTAAAAAGAGGTGGCCAAAATGTAGAGAATATTTTGCAAATATATTATAAAATTTTGTAATGAATATTTTGTAAATAAAGATATTTATTTTTAATTTTGTAAATAAAGATAGCTACAATTTCCCATTTTCACTATCTGTGATGACTTTATGGGTGACTTTTGGGACATGCTGTAGTTAAGTTTTATATCAAATTTGGTTTAATCATAAACTTCTCCACTGTCCTCATTTATTTCTCTTTGTACTTTTAGATCCCATTTTCTCTCACTTGTTTTTTTTTTTTCCTTCTCTCTATACTTGCCATTACCTTAGCCCAGTGTAGTCACTCCATCAAATAGGAAGAGAGAAAACTTGATCCTTTCCCATGTCAAGATCACCATTACTCCTTTACTGGATAGAAATATGACTATTCTAAATGTTTAACTTTTCTGGTACTCCCCCCCACCCCCGTTTTGTTGTTGTTGTTGTTTGTTTGTTTTGAGACAGAGTCTCACTATGTCATCCTGGGTAGAGTGCTGTGGCTTCACAGCTCACAGCAACCTCAAACTCTTGGGCTTAAGTGATTCCCTTGCCTCAGCCTCCCAAGTAACTGGGATTACAGGCACCCACCACCACACCCAGCTATTTTTTTGCTGCATTTGTCATTGTCGTTTAGCCCAGGCCAGGTTTGAACCTACCAGCCTGAGTGTATGTGGCCAGCACCCTACCCACTGAGCTATGGGTGCTGCCCCCTTTTTTTATTTTTCATTTTTTGGTTTTAATTGTTATAGGCAAACAATTATGTATATTTATGGGGAAAATGTGATTTTTTGATACATGCATACAATGTGTAATAATGAAATCATGGTAATTGAAGTATCCATCATTTTAAGCATTTATTATGTCCTTGCATTAGGAACATTAAAATTCTACTCTTTAATTATTTTAAAGTGTACTCTTGCCAGCCTCTGGTAGCCATCATTAATCATTGTCATGTGACCAATTATTTCAATTTTTAGCTCTCACATATGTATGTGAGAATATGCCAAATTCTTTTTTCTATACTTGTTAAACACTTAAAAAGTGTTCTTTCATTCCATCCATGTTATTACAAATGACAGAATTTTATTCATTTTTATGGCAGAATAATATTCCATTGAATATGAATTGCCCAGTGAATGAATTATCCATTCATTCACTGATGGACTCAGGTTGATTCCAAATCTTGGCTATTATAAATACCACTGCAATAAACGTGGGACTGTGGATATCTTTTTATTTCCATTCTTTTGAATAAATACCTAGCAGCAGAATTGCTGAGTCATATAAATTATATGGTAGTTTTATTTTTAGTATTTTTGAGGAACCTCCACAATGCTCTCCATAGTAGTTGCACTAATTTACCTTCTCACTTACAGTTTGCAAGGGTTCACTTTTTCCCACTGTTGGTAAGAATTCATTATTTCTTATTTTTGGATAAAAGACATTTTACCTGGGGTGAAATGATACATCATTGCAGTTTCATTTGCATTTTGCAATGGTAAGTGAGGTTGAGCATTCTTTCATATACTTGTTGGTCATTCATATGTTTTTTTGTGAGAAAAGCATATTCAGATCCTTTCCTTATTTTTTAATCAGATTATTTGGTTTTTTTTCCTATGAGTCGTTGGAGCTAATTATATATTCTAGTTATTAAGCCCTTGCCAGATGGGTTGTTCGTAAATATTTTCTCAACCCAGTTCTGTGGGCCATCTCTTCATTTTTTTTATTTCCCTTACCTTGCAGAAGGTTTTTAGCTTGATATAATCCCATTTGTCTATTTTTTCTTTGCTTGCCTGTGATTTTAGGGTATTATTCAAGAAGGCATTGCCCAGATGAACATCCTGGAGAGTTTCCCCAGAGTTTTCTTTTAGTAGTTTCATAGTTTCAGGTTTTAGATTTAAATTTTTAATTGACTTTGGTTTGATTTTTGCATGTAACAGAAGATAGGGTTCATTTCTTTCTTCTGCATATGGATATCTATACTGGAGAGGAAAGAATGGATATTCAGTATTCTCAGCACTATTTCTTAAAGAGACTGTCTTTTCCCCAATGTATGTTCTGAGTACCTTTATCAACGAGTTTACTATAAATGTGTGGATTTATTTCTGAAACCTCTATTTTTTTCCATTGGTCTATGTGTCTGTTTCTGTGCCTGTATCAGGCTGCTTTTGTTACTACAGTTTTGTAGTATAATTTGAAATCAGGTAATGTGACTCCTCCAGTTTTGTTCCTTTTGCTCAGGATGGCGTTGGCTATTCTGGGCCTTAGGTGGTTCCATATAAATTTTAGAATTATTTTTTTTCTAATTCTGTGAAGAATATCATTGGTATTTTGATGGGAATTGCATTGAATGTGTAGACTGCTTTGGGAAGTATGGACAATATAATATCATTGATTTTTTTCAATACATGAGTGTGAAATATCTTTCCATTTATTTGTATCATCTTCAATTTTTTTCAATAACATTTTATAATTTTAATTGTAGATTTTTTTTACTTTTTAATTAAATTTATTCTGAAGAATTTCATTTTATTTGTAGATACTATAAATGGAATTACTTTCTTGGTTTCTCCTTCAGATTGTTTGCTGTTGACATATAGAAATGCTACTGATTTTCATGTATTGATTTTATATTTGTATCCTGAAACTTTACTACATTTATCAGTTCTAATACTTTTTTGTGGAATCTTCGGTTTTTTTCAAAATATAAGATTATATTGTCTGCAAACAAGGATAATTTGATTTCTTCCTTTTCAATTTGGATGCCCTTTATTTTTTTCTCCTGCCTGATTGCTCTAGATAGAACTTCAAGTACTGTATTGACTAACGTGGTGAAAGTGGGCCCCTTTGTCTTGCTCCAGATCTTAGAGGAAAAGGTTTCAGTTTTTCCCCATTCACTATGATAGTAGCTGTGTGTTTGTGATATATAGCTTTTATCATGTTGAGATATTTTTCTTCTATACTCAGGTTTTTGAGAGTTTTTATCATTAAGAGATGCTGAATTTTATCAAATGCATTTTCAACATTACTTCAAATGATCATGTGGGTTTTGTCTTTTGTTGTCATGATATGATGGATCACACTGGTTGATTTGTGCACACTGAACCATCCTTGCAACCTTGGGGTGAATCACACTAGATCAAAATGAGTGATGTTTGTTTTTAATGTGTTGTTAAGTTCAGTTTGCTAGTATTTTGTTGAGGACTTTTTCAACAGAAATATTGGCCTGTAGTTTTTTGTTGTTGTTGTGTCTTTGGTTTTGTTATCAAGGCAATACTTGTCTCATAAAATAAGTTTTAAAGTATTCCTTCATCAATTTTTTGAGGAGGATTGATATTAGTTTTTTTTTAAAATTTTGGTAGAATCCAGCAAAATCCAGCACTATTAGAATTAGGGCTTAATTTTGCATGGGAGACCTAATTTTTCACTATTAGGTCCTGGGCTTAATTTTGATGGGAGAGTTTTTATGACAACTTCTATCGCATTACTTGTTATTAGTCTGTTCAGATTTTGGATTTTTTCCTGGTTCAACCTTAACAGGTTATAAGTGTCTAAGAATTTATCCATTTCTTTTATGTTTTCCATGTTGGCATAG